GACCTTGAAAACGGTCCAGTGATTATGGCCGCCTTGTTTTATGAGGCCAGTGAATCCTAGTAGTGGCATAGGATAATGGAGGGTCTTAGCTGCGATGCCTGCCCTGTCTCGATTTTCAGATGTTGTAGTGTGCATGTGAAGTGTGCCGAAAATGCGACCTTGGTGGTCGTGAAGTGGTCCAGTTGCAGTTACTTGAAAGAATGCAACCCGTTGGAGCAGTTGTCCACGCCATAGAAGCCTTGAGAGGTTTGGCCCAATGGTTAACGTGCGAGGGTGACTAGCATTGGCTAGTGCATTTCTAGTAGAAGTAGGGAAGGCACTGGAGCCCGATATTTAGGTTTAAGGAGAAATGACGGGTAAGGAGGCTTTGCACCAGAGACCAACTATTATGCTGGTCAACTGCCAGGTGTACTGATTATGCTGCCTTGTGGTAGATGAGGAGGTTGAGGGAAATATATGTAGTGGAATAATTTAGCATTATGTATAATTTTGTCTTTGTATTGTAATCGATTTAAGGGGTTAGGATTAAAATAGTCTAATAACTAGGACAAATTGTCCTAGTTTCTCAGATATTTTAAATTGGGGGAGAAAGGGGGATGTGATGTAGTCCAGCTGGGCTTGTGAGGTCTCTGGGGAGACCTAATTTAACCAATTATATGGTCACACCTTGCCTTGGCAAACGTCTGTAGCCACGCCCACGTCTGAGGTCTTTTGTTCTTGACGCCTCAGACCTAGGCGTCAGGTCGTACACGTGGTTGTGGAGGGTGCTTGGACCACCATAAAAGCCCAAGGAAGAGCTGAGTAGGGAGATTCGAGCGGAGCTGCTGCTGGGGTGCAGAGCTCCTGAGCAGAGACTTCGAGCGGAGCTGCTGCTGGGGTGCAGGGCTCGGAGAAGGCTGCTGAAGTCTCTGGAGGAGACTGTTGGAGGCATTGGGCAGAGTACTGGCTTGGCGCAGTACTCGTGCTGTGTAGTGTCTTGGGACCTGTGGCTTAGTTCCTGTGATGAACTGTCCTCTGTGCTATATTGTAAGTTATATTCATTTTGGTCAAGTTTGATTGTGTCCATGTCTCACTGCTTATGTGTACCACCCCATTTTATCTGAACCCCAATGATGTTCTCCTGTTCCCAAATATATTATTGTACAAGGACTTAATAATAAACTGTGTTTGAGTAGAATAGTAATATTCACTGTCCCCGTTATTAGCTATTCCTATTTCTTATATTTTATTATGTTTATATATGAGTGAAGAGTGGGCGAGGCATATGTTAGTGAGTAGTGTAGAGTTAATGAGAGTGTCGTGGTGGTCACCACTGACCTGTCATTACCTACCTACCTCCGCTAATCATCTCACTCCTATCACCTCGCCTGCCTCGCCCCTGCCTACGATACCCCCTACTCCCATATTCCCGCAATCATTACCCCCCTACATGACACATTCACTCAATCACTGTCTTACCAAAAGTGCTCTTTTGTGAAAATTCAAAATGATCCTTCAAACTGCAACATCCTCAACCTGTAGACAGTAAGCTTACTGTCTAGTTATAGTCCCCCCTTGGAGTAAGCCTACTGTCTAGTTACCCTAGTCCCCCCTTGGAGTGAGTTGTTGTGGGCCTAATTGCACGAGTGCCTACCAGAGGGCAGGGCCTCAAGTTAGACATACATAGCCATGCCTCCCTCTCACTCCTAGACCTACGGCTTTCCAGTTAACAGCTCCCATCCTGGACTGGATTCAGCACACCTCACACTGCCCCCCTGTGAACCCCATTATTCCAATAAATTAGCTAGTCTATGGCTGTATATCTCTCCTACCTCTACGCTACCTGGCAAGTTACTGGACCAACCCAGTAGAGTTTTAACAAACCCCTCCTTCAGAGCAAAGGTACTTCCCATCTCCAGGGTTAGTCCAGCTAACCAATTCACTCTGAACCCCTTCATAACTGCTGCTATGTTCACATTCCAATAAGTCCATTAAAAACCACCTGTCCGTACTCACTCCAGTCCAACATGCTCATTTGGAAATCGAAACAGTATACCAAATTTTGCCACTGTTTTGAGATGTCTTAGATATTTCAGCACTACTTATGTCCCTCTATTTACCACAATATTACCCTTATTCTACCCTCAAAGGCAGTGCCTCTAGCTAGGCTAGTGAGGGGATCTTGTGCAAGAAACTGGCCCTTTTCTTGGATGATGATAATATCATCTTTATTTCTACATGTATAAAGTATACAGGCATCGCTGATATACTTGGAAAGCCACTTATTATGCAGAGCATTTTAGGCAAATTAGGTCAGGTTTGAAACCTGACTGCATCATTGAGGATAGAGCCTTGGGTCACTTGAAAAATAGACAAGTACACGAGTGAGTTTGGGTAAGCGAGTTGGACTAGCTTAGCATTTACCAGCAGGCCCAATCAGTGCTGCTCCTCAATGTTCATATGCCTCCAATTCCCCAGGTGCAATATGACCCAATTACAATAAAAAAAAAATCCCATAATTCCACACTAAAAGAATGCAAGTTCAGTGCATGTCTTTGTAAGATTATTACATTCATGATTTGGGAGGGGTGATTAAATCTATGCAAGTCCTACATCCTACAGCACTGGGAAAATGGGAGGGAACTGGGTTTGATCAAAGATAAGGGAGGGGAAATTCAATTCCTTAGATCAGAAGCCCCTCACTGGAATCGATGAACTTCCCTCGAGAGGTTTTTGTAGGCAAATTTTCCGACACTGGCTCAACTTTATCATCCTCGTATGTTTTCCTGAATTTATGTTCCTACCTGTCTACCTGGATATAGTTCTGAGGATAAACACCCCCATGGCCTGGTCCTCAACCAGGCCTCACAGTGGATGACCAGGGCCTGATCAACCAGGCTGTTACTACTGGATCTGGCTGTATGGCTAAAGTATTGTGTACTTTGATGCAGAGTGTGTAGGTTTGAATCTAGCTGTGGACCGAGAGAGGATGCTTTGCACGTCCCATGGCTCAGTAGGCAATGCCCTCGCCTCACACAGTGTCAATATTTTAATCCCTGGCCAGGTGGAAACGGGTATGTTTCCTTAAGTGGCTGTGACCTGGAACTGACAAGGTTGGGTCAGTGGCTTAAGCCAGTGGGTGACTTGGACCTGCCTCACAAGGGGCCAGTAGACCTGCTGCAGTGTTCCTTCTTATGCTCTTACAACTGGATTCCCTGTTCACCTAGTAATAAGTAGATACCTGGGTGTTAGTAGGCTGGTGTGGGTTGCATCCCAGGGGACAAGATTAAAGAACCTCAATGGAAATAGGATAAAAGTCCTTGAGGAAACACAGACTTTCTTGGGTTATCCTAGGTGACTACCACTCTGGGTTAAATCTCCAAACAAATCTCGTCTTAACCTCACCTACTCCGAGGATGGGACACCATGAGCACAGCTTTGCTCCTGTAGCTACAAATAGGTACAGTAATTATGTGCAACATTTTTTTTACAATGAGTCCTCTCCCCAACCACTATGTATACTCACATGTTATTCTCTGAATGAATTGATAAAGTCCCCAGTAGACAATGTCATTAACAAAATGCCATAACTCAAACATTAAGCCTTAGCTACACATGCTTGTCAAATTATGTTTAAGGGAACTTCAAATTGTACCAAGTGACTGATTCTACTAATTTTACCCACTATTGAGGTCAGGCTGATTATGAAATAAATCAATGATACGAACCCATCTATGCATTTGTAGCCAATTTAAGCAAATGTGGTAAAGTTAGACTAAGTTAAATAGAAGGCAGGACATAATTCATTCTTAATCTTGCATTTGTTATATCTTTTTTTTTTTTATCCCAGGACACATTCATTTATCTTTTATAACAATTCCATGGTAAAAAAAAAGTACATGTTTTTAAATATTTAGTGATAATAGGCACGGTATATATACATTTTAATACTCATGTACTTTTAAATGAGTTATGCAATAGAGATTCTGGACAAATAAGAAAATTCTCTTTTAATAAGTAAATTTAGTAAAGGAACAACCAACCTAACCTAGGCCATGAAATTTTTAGTCAAAGTCTGTGTAAGTTAGGTAAAATTTGGTTGAATCGTGAAAAAAAAAATCCCATACATACTAAATATAAATAGCTCCATTAAACACGGTACTGGAAAAAATTCCATAAAAGTACACCTGAGGCGGTAAATACTGACTCGTTTAACTAACTTTTTAAACCTTGAAAATAACAGCTGATACTGAAGGCAAGTCCCATTAACGACTAAATAAATAATATATTATTAACAATAGAACACAAGCAATGATTCAATGTTGCAAACACGCAACAAAAGCTTCATAAAAAAAATCTAATTTTAACTTTCTGGCAATCATATTTAATCTACGTTGCTTTAACAGTTTACGCGGTATTAACGTCTAATTATGCTTCATTTACTTATCGTGAACTGTACTCTTGCCAAATAAAACTTATTTATATATACGTATATATATATAAAATGTCCTCACGACGTAGGCTGAGGAGTCCATTTTGTTGGATCCGGAGAAAATCCTTCACATAATCCTGCGTATTTCTACTATCCGATCAAGTTTTTAAATACACGGAAATTGTATTGCCGGCTTACAGTTATTCGAAATAGTCATGGGAAGTACACGCGAGCCGAAAAGAGGAAGAAATGAAGGGGAAATTAATGATAAAACATGGATGGCGTCATATGTATTAATCGAAGTTGCAAGAAAAAAATTGTAGATACAAATTATTTGAAAAAAAATACTAGAAAGTCTTTAAAATATTCGTAGAAACCCTCAAGGGTTAATTAAACCAATTTATAAATGCAGGAATTTGAAATAAAAGACCGTGGTGCCTCGTAATGGCCGCCTCTCCCATCTCCATTGTCTCCCTTTCACCGCCTTCACACATTCCCCTAATATACCCAAAAACCACTTATTTACTTCCCTTCTAACACATCTGGGTGCACTCCCCACATAATCATCTTCCCAGGACCAGACACTTACCTGATGGGAACATGCACTTAACGGAGAAAAACCGATATATAAAGATGAGATGTGATGGAGGTGACGCAGCTTTGGTGGTGATGGTGGTACTCAGCTGCCACACTCAGGCCGCGCCACCCTCTCTAACACCTCTTGTATCAACCACTAGATGGCACTACTAACCTAACTTCACTTTAATGCAATAGATGGCGCTTGTTGTGAACATGTACCAATGTTTTATTTGGATTAGTTTAATCCGGGATTACCCAGTCAAATTGTGTGTAAGTTAGGTAGTCATGGAGGACACTTGATGTATCTTGTTTCCTTTGTGATCCTTTTAATTATCTTGCTCAAGGTGTGGATCCCAATGGAAATCAAGGACCTCGATGGAAATCAAGGACCTCGGTGGAAATCAAGGACCCCAATTGAAATCAAGGCCATCAACGGAAATAAGTCAGTGACTTTTTGGGGGTTACCCTAGGTAATTTACACTATATATGATAATTGTGTTTGTGTACCTGTGCCTAAATAAACTTTCTTGCTCACGACAGTAGCTCATAATCAAGGTGCCTACTTACTGCTGGTGAACAGCAGCAAAGAGTTTAGGGTGTCCCGTGACTTGGTTGACAATGCTATCGCCTCACACACTGAGTGTCCCTGGTTCGATCCCCGTCAAGGGAGAAAATGCTAGGCGTTTCCATATACCTGCTGTCTCTGTCCACGTAGCATTAATTAGGTACTCGATGTTAGTCCACTGTTGTGGGTGGTATCCTGAGGGACAAGACTGAGGGACGCTAATGGAAATAAGACAGTCTTCGATGACGCACTGACTTTCTTGAGTTATCTTGGATGGCTAAGTCCATCTCGGTGGAATCGAACCCGATACTTTTTTTATTTCAGGGAACGCTAACTGGATTTCCCATCGTGGGGGATGTGAAGGTACCTCATTATATTATTATAACAAGGGCAGCAATCCTTAAACCCTCACGCATTAACGAGCCCTTGGGGGGGATAAGTGAGAGGTGACTACCAGAGCTAATTCAGGAAAAAAATGGTACAAATAAATACGTAATAAGATAAGCATAATGTAGCTTCCGTTGAAGGGTACGTTATTATATAATCGAGTGGAGCGCTAAACCCGAGATACGCTGGGGGGGATGGGCAAGGAAACAGCTTAAATAACGGGAGATTCCAAATTAAAATCAAGACTACAACATCAAGAACCTTCCTTGAGGGGCTAAGGTTACAGTGTGTGTTTACATAATATGATTGGAGCAAAGAAAGCCACTATCATGCCGAGGCATTTCGGGTTGGCTGACTTGCATCCATAATAGGCCAGTAGGCCTATTGCAGTTCTCTACTTTATTAATGTTGGTAGAATTACCGACAGTATGTTAGGTAAAAGGACACAAGTGCAACTAATGTGACATTTTGTTGTGGTAACAGCTTGATAAAGCTCCTGTTGAGCGAATCGTTGACACAATAAAATGTCACATTAGTTGCACTTGTGTCCTTTTATCTAACAGTTCTCTACTGTTGGTATGTTCAGATAATCACCATTATTATAATTATTACTATCTGTTCATTCATTCCTCTTGGCTTCAAGTCGTCTCGTTCGAGATTCCTGCAAACATTCGCTAGAGGCCATTAAATTTACTATTATTCTCTTTAACCTATGCCAATTTTCCTAATCTTGCGTTTGCCAGGTTTAAAATCCATTATTATTATACAGCGCATGGAAGGTATTCAGGGAACCGGAGCACAGTTTCAATTCCCTATATCAAGAGCCCCTCACCAGCATCAAGGAACCTCCTTTGAGGGGTTTTCATTCAGAAAAATGGCTTAATCATGTACAGTAATGGATCAATTCAGTGGAGAAACTTTGTGCAATAATTTTTATATTTTGGGGGTGCCAAACCCATAGTGGAGTCATACAGATCTGACCCAAGGGTGAAGAGGTCTGATTCCTTAGATCAGGAGCCCCTGGCTGTAAAGAACCTCCCTCAAGTTTATACAATGAAGACTCCTCTGACTTCCGGTGTCTTATCATTACCTGTACAGGGGTCTTATTACATTCGTGAGTTAAGTCTTAAACTTGTGTCATGCAACACCTGGGAAATGGGAGGCAATTAAATTTGATCCAAGGAAGAGGATTCTAATGAAAGGAAAATATTAAACTTGTAGAGATCATATGACATATGGGGAAAGCGAGGCAATAAAGTTAGATACAAAGAAACCAACATTTGGCGCCTCCCCAAGTTCCTCATATCCTTTGATTTATTATAATCAAGGGGAAGCGCTAATCCCGTAGGATTATACAGCGCCTGTGGGGGGGGGGGGATGGAAGGTATTCAGACTCAATTCAGGGAACTGGAGCACAGATCCAATTCCCTAGATCAAGAGCCCCTTACCAGCATCAAGGAACCTTCCTTGAGGGGAAGGAAAGTAATACAGAGCAGATACCGACAGGAACCAAAAGAAATTAGGACAGGCGAGGAAAGTAATACAGAGAACAGATATTGCTAGGAGCCAAATGAAATTAGGATGGGTGAGGAATGTAATACATTACAGATACTGGCAGGAACCAAAAGAAATTAGTAGAGATACTTAGTTGGCTCATGTGGGGAAGGCTAGGTTAAGTGTGGGAGCACTTGTACTTCTGGGATAGAAGTGGAATTTTAAAGGGGTTGGTTGGAGAATGAAGTACGTGAAGGAATGACAGTGCTGTTGCAAGGTTTTCAGACAAATTTTGAAGGTCTTTCAGAATGTGGCATCAAAGGCACTGTTTTAGAGGACTTTGTGGGATGGTGGAGCACAGGCGATAGAGATGAAGAGTTTCAACATCAGTCTTATCATAGGTCAACTAAGTTCCAGCACAGTTATGGTGTGGGTTTGAGTTCCCTCACTAGTAGGCATTATTATGATACATAGCAAGGGGAGAGAGAGGGGTTTCTGGTTATCGAAGATCAGTTTTGCTATATTAGTCATGTTTCTGTTTACGAGCAGGGAGAATACAAGTTTCAACCCTTGTGACTCAGAAGTGTTGAAAATCTAATTATTGTACATCTGAAGCAGCCTGTACAGATTTGATGTATCACCATTTGAGGGATGACAACCTTTCCGTAGCAAGAACCAAGTAGTCACTGCGATCCTGCCAATGATGTGGAGCTAAATTTGTTTTATTGGCTTGGTCAGTATCTTTTGTGCTGATGCAGTACAGCTCACATTTTAGTAGGTGTAATGCATGTCCAATGCAGTGTTTGTAGCATTTCTGTCAGTGGAAGAGGTTTTCAAATGGTGTGTATACTCTTTCAGCACTGTTTGCTCTCTTAGCAATGACCAAGTCACTCTTTCTGCTTCATCTATATGTGGTTCTGGGGACTACCTTCCCCATGGCCTTGTCTCAGACCAGGCCTCCCTAGTTGGCAAGTAAATATTATAGGATTAAGAACACAGGAAAGTAAAGGTATGTACTATACTGAATGTTAGTAGTAAAGATTTACTTGTTATATGAAGGATAGATCGGCAATCCTACCAGTGAAGAGTAAGTTTCCATATCACACATTTGACAGGACAGATTGCCACTATCTACCAACCTGCTAATAAGAGGACGACACCTCCAGAACAGAGGTAGACTTAGCAAACCCACCTTAGTAGACGAAAGCACTAAAAGCGCAATCGTCTTTCAGCTAATAGTGGCTGGCGAATCAGAAATGACACCTAGTCGCACCTTCAATTGCCACTCCTGGATCCACAGACAACTTCCAGTAACATTGTACAGCACCTTTGTCAGAGGCCCTGCTAGATGCCAGAATATAATCTATTACCTTCAAGTGGAGTGGTAAGACAACCACAGAACTACTAACATAAGCTATGTTAGAACAAGGATGATAAGTGTCCTTTTTCCCTCTATATAGGAGCTAGGCCTCACTAAATGGTATTTTATATTCCTGGGGGAGAACTAAACTTGTAGGGGTGAAGAATGGGAGGCATTCAGGTTTGATCCAAGAGAGAGTACATGTCTAATTCCTTTTTTCAAAAACCCCTCAAACTTAAAGGAACCTCCCTTGAGATTCCTTGAAGTCGATGGGGATAAAAAGGGTTAAGGGTAAAATTTAACCAGACACCAAATGGAGTTGCAAGATTGGGGTATTTATTTTTGATCCTCAGCCCCTTAGCTGAGATAGGTAGTCCCTCTTGAAGTTGTAATTATAAAACTGACTCCATTCCGTTGATTATGCAAACCACTGGACAATAAATGATATACAAATGTAGTGCATTATCACTCTTAAATCTTAAAGTAAATGAAGATTTAAGTTTAATTTCACACAACAAATTCCCAGCTTAAATTTTAAATTATAATTTTGCTCATCAAATTCCCAATTTAAATTTAAATTATTACAATCATTACTAAGCACTAAACCCATAAGGGTCATACAGCACTTGTATCTACATTAACTACACAAATGGTTTTAATATTAAAGTTCTGACACAATATATGCAAAACCTTGACCATAACTCCATGTCATTATATTAAGACTCAGCTCGGGTAACTGATAACTAAATTGGCCAAGATCTGCCAGTTACATTGTTACTTCTATTCATAGGGAGTGTTAAATATGTAGGGGTCATATAGTCGGGTGAATGGGAAGCATTCGGGTTTGGTCCAGTTCTTTAGATCAAGAGCCCCCCTCACTGGCATATTTGCATTATACTAATTTGCTTTAGGAAGAACCTACTAGTACTTTATGGTCAAACAGCACATTCATTATCAACACGTGTATTTTGAAACCTTTCTCCAAGACCAGGGCTCAAGACCAGTCAGGTTTAAAATTCCACAAATTTCTTAGTTAGCTCCTGTTACAGATGCATCTGCCAGTGGCAACAAGGTCCTTGGAACTGCAAAATTACTCCTGAATTAGTTATACTAAAAATCTTAAATGCCACATTTTATTTATTTCTTAAATTTTTTCAAATTTAGCCCGAGCAATTTACATTGGTCGCAGTGTTGGAGTTTATAGATTAGTTGAGGTTTTAAAGATTTTATTTCATAAATATTCATTTGTAATTTTTACATGCAGCAAGACAAATCCCACTTGATAATCAAATATGGGTTTTTAATAAAACAAGATTAAG